TGTCTCTTTAACATAGAGAAGGTAAAGAGATTGTTCATCTAAAAAACATTGTTTAATGGAATGATTTATGGAAAATTGACTTCTAGGAACAACTTCCTTAGAAGGGACACTACCTTCCAACTCTATCACCTTATGTAGTTCAATTCAGTAGTGTGGAACGGCCTGTTCCAGTTCGGGAACGGCCCGTTCTGGCTACTGAATCGACCTCTTTTTTTTTTTTTTCAATGTTACATATAAAATATTAATATTTAATTTAAAAATAAAAATATTAAAAGGATGAATTAAAAGTAGATAAAAAGTTAAGAAAACCTTAAAAATACTTTTATTTAAGTTAATTATTATAATTTATAGGTTGAATTGTATTTTTATTAGATTCATTTTTTTCCTTTAACTTTTAAAATAATTAATTTGATTATTCATTTTCTAAATTTAGATCAATTTAATCTTTTTGAAATAATAATTAATTTAAATTTTTAGACACGATTTAAAAAAATTACTAAAATAATACTTAAAACTTATTTTTGTTATATTTAATATTAAATATAATTGAAGTTCAAACGAGACCGTGTTTAAATATGATGAAAAATGTATAAAAATAAATCTAAAAGGTAATAAAAAATTTAAAATATGTATATATATTATTTTATATTATTTTTTAGATATCTGATATATTTTGCACACGATTTTCACATTTAAATAGGTGGACATTCCCTCTCGTCTTGAGTTTTCTGCATTCGTAAAAGTCAGAATTCGAATTTTGACTATTTGGTCAAGCGATGTAAATCTCTCGCTACTCATACCAACCCAAGGTACATATAAGTAAAGAGTTTAATGTTGAAGTTTAAAGTTTTTGATGAATCAATAATTGATTCAAATTTATTTATAAAATTAAAAATTTCTATTTTTTTAAAGAAATAGATTAATCCAAATAAAAAGATAAATGACCTAAATGAACATTTTAATATATATAGAATAAAATTAAAATTAATGTAAAAAGTAAGACAACAAAAAAGTAATTTAACCTAAATTATATGTATATATAATTGAAAATGTTAAATAAAATCAATAAAAAAAAAGTTAAATAAAATATTTAAAAATGTAACAATTTATCTTGATCTTTAAATTTGACAACTTAAACCGACAATAATAAAAATAACTAATAACTTATAATTATATATCTATTGATGACTAAATATGAATTATATATCATTCATGTGAAAGTAAAACAATTAAAAACATTCATCATCTCAACAATACAACAATGTCATTCATATAACATGTTCAAGACATATACACACTACACGAACTACAATTCAACTTAACTTTCAACTAGTAACTCACAACATAATCATTAATATACAACATATTAAATTTTAGCATGTAGATTTCATTATCATACAACATCATTCATAAACCTATTCATCATCATTTAACCATAAAATAACTCAAACAACAAATGTTCATCATACAACTTAGTTATTATGCAAGCACTTAACTCAGCTAGAGAAGAAAATTATTTGACTAAGTTCTCATGCTGAGCGTGAAATCTCATGCAAAGCATCGGGCTTATATAGTCATATAAGAATTTTGCAACTTTTCACACTAAGCATACAACTCACGCTTAGCCTCAACCGTCGAGAGTCATGCCCAAGTTCTCACGCTTAGTATTACAAACCTAGAAATTCCTGTATAGTTGAAGAACAATCCATTTTTTATGAACACCACCCAATCTCCAAAATCCTCTTAGCTTATGCAATAATACATGCATGCAACCTCAAAATCTTACAATTATAACAACATGCAACTTAGAAATCGAAGAAGAAGAGACATGCAACAACAACACATCAATTAGGTTGTCGAATTCTAAAATTTTCACCAAGAACACCAAAAAACCCAAAATTGACCAATCTTTCATCTAAAAAATTCTTAGCCACTAAAATGAAGAATTTTCAAGCAACATATACACAGAGATCCATCGGGAGTTAGGTTATAACTTTCTTTACCTCAAGGTCTCCCGATTTGTGAGAGAAAAGGAAGTAGTAGAAGAAGAAGAAAGCTTCATGAAATCTCTGCATCGATAGCTCGAAAATAGATTTTCACCCCCCAAGTTTGAATCTCTGTTTTAGAATCTGCAAAAAAAAAATAAAGGAAAGTTTAAAATCTTCAAAATTCCTCTCACTACTCTCTCTCTCTCTCCAACTTCTTTAATGAAGTGAACTTATGAAACTAATTTCTAAAGAAAGACCTTAAATATTTTTCTCCTTAAAGTTCAATTTGACATTTGCTAAGCGACATTACTAACAACAAAAACTCATAAGGAATTTCACCAAATTCCTGAACTTCTTAACAAAAATAACAATTAATCACAACAACATATTAAATTATTTACAACACTCTACAACTTATAGTATTACAAAAAATACACTTATCTGAGAAAACTCTTAAACATACTTTCATAAAAAAAATCTTAATAATATTCTTAACAGTCAAATATAAGTTGGTATAATTATAATTAACCATGGTTAAGATGTGATTAAATAGTTCAAAAAAATGTTTGTTTTA